TAATATCCTTTAACTGCATAGTGTTGGTTTAACCTCGTTTTCGCAACTTGGTCGAAGAAGCAGGAAGACCTTGTGGAACGTATCTAGTCCCGCGTCCCATATGGAAGTGTAGTAAGTCAACAGTCCGATGCTTGAAACCATGAATACTATGGCAAATGACGCAGAACTAGGTACGATCCACAAGTTGTCACTGTTGCCTTGACCAAGTTGCGAAAACGAGGTCAAACAAACACAATTGTGCTTCAGTTGGGTTGCTTTAAGAAGTGGTGAGAGTAGCAAGTCATCTTTCAAGTATCAACTAGACAGATGGCACCAAAATAAAGAAAAACTAAGTATGCTAAATAAAATGAATAAAGAACACATACAATCGACGTTCTTCGAAATATTTACATGTCGTTTATTAGCTTGCCTCGAAATTCCTAGCCTCCAGATAATGGCCGAAAATTTAGGTTTATGGCGGAATAGTTCTAAAAAATGTAAAGATGTAAATATAACTCAAATAAATGGTCTGAGGTGCAGTCGTTAGTCATATACCAGTCGATTCATTTAACTGAAGCTTTAAAAAACTTGAACAGAGACAACATTGCTAGATACAACAGACAAAAAGACATACAAACAGCTTAGCGGATCGTTTGGCCGAAACCTCGATAGTAAAATAAATTGAAAAATAAATTCCGTGGAATTTATTGTGCTAGCCAAAAACATTAAGTAGCTTAAAATATAACAAACTAAAAGAGATATATAAGTATAAAGCTGACAAATATAAAAAGAAAAAAGAATTTATCAAAAGCACAGCCCAATAGATAGACAAAAACTTAAAGCAATTGTAAAGAATAGTATACTTCAATGCGTCGTTGAAAAGACTTGTGCTGCAAATCAGATTTGAGAAAATAAGTGCACTTCAAAATGCACGATAAAAAGAATATGGAAGTAACAAATGTTTTAACAATGCAGGAATGAAAAAAGGATGTAAAGCAAAACGACAGAATAATAAAAGTCGCAAAAATCGTGATAAAATTGGCAAGACAAAATAAACAAAACCAATTGGTATAAAGCATGTTGAGCCAAAAGAAATTGGTGAAAAGATGGAGGAAAGCTATATTTATATATACAAAGTGATAAAATAACAGTAATGAAAAATAGTGTAAAAATTTGAAAATTTGAATAGAATTTACTCATTGCTTAGTTTTAAATGGTATAGAAATGGTAAAGACCAATATATTTGCTGAGTACACTTACAAATGAGATGTAACAAGCATAATAAGCAAATTTGGGGGTTTTTTTCAAGGAAAAGTTGGATTACGACCGAAAAGATCATTAGAGGCACGTCAGGCCAAATAGATTTTAAAATAAATGAGTTTGGGACGAAGTGATGGTTAAGCTTGATATTTGGAATCGCTGTAGTGAAAAGAGAGGGAGGAGTTTTGGCCAGCAGGCTCAGGACCGATGCTGATCATTAGAGGCGCTATTGCCATCATCTTGAGAGGCATTATCGTCTGATATGTGATTGTATGCTGTAAGGTATAGCTCAGAGGCAAGATCCCTGCTAGGAGAAGGCTCAAAGCTGTGTTTGCCAGTAGAGACCGAAGGAGTCCCGTCGACCAAAAAAGCACCATTTAAACTGGTGCGACTTGATTGCTGTTTATGTTGGATATGGCGACGATGATGCTTGTGTTGATGCCGACGTAGGCATTGACTACGTCCTGAAGCTATGGTTTTTGGCATCACGTTTCCTACTTTATTGTCATTTTGACTTTCCGTAGGCTCGCTTTCGGCTTGATTGACACTGGAGGTTGGATAGGAGACCTGGTTGTCTTGAGAGTTGCTAGCAGGAAGGGAAACGGGCAGGTCAAATGACAGGAAATGGAAGAAATCAAATGTAGAAAAGCTATAAACTAATAAAGTGCATTGACATGCTAAGCTGGCCCGAGAAATTCCTGTTAAATAACCTAATAATCAAGAGGTCATTAGGAATTTTTAGATTAATTTCATGAGTTTTAGATCAGTTTGCTTAAGGAAAAAAGTAATTAGGAAATATTTCAATGTTCAATAACATTTATTTAAAAATAGTATGAGGATTGAAAGATTCCGATGCTAGATTATTAGTATCAAAAATGAGGTGAATGTTGGTTATTACTGCTAGTTGCATAGGTGATTATAAAAACAAAAGGTTTTGATGAGAAGCTTATTAAATTTAGCAGTGAAGGAAATGTATAGGGGATACTCACATCACAATGGCTGATTTAAGATAAATTTGTGCAATAAGTGTGCAGCATCCAAGCTAAATAAAAACCTATGCCGACTAAAATCTGGAATGTGGCTTGGTGACATGATAAGTTCATCGAATTAGCAATCAACTAATCAGCCTCATTGGCATATTTTATCACTGGATCGAAACGCGATAACAACAAAGCCCAAATGGTTAGCGCTAATTTCTCTTTGCTGAGCATTTAATTTACAAATCAGCCCATACCAGCATTCCATAACCAAATAATACCTTGCCAATATAATAGTATGGTTAGCTGTGACGACCCACTAAATTCAAAACCAGCTAGAATCATGAAGCACTTTTGTGTTTCAGTATTTCTGTTCAGCTTATGCCATAGGAGAAATTTTATGGCAAATATAAATATAACAAGACACAAGCAGCACGAGGTCAAGTAAACAGTTGAAATACAGGTAGGCAAATATTCCGCAAAAGAACAAATAAAAGTATAAATATACGTCTGTATGTTTGGTTGGTTTAGTAAAATGAAAAATTTTTTAATGGTGGGATAATGAGGATTTTAATTTGGATAGTAATTAAAACCCAGTTCTTGGATTTGATTGGACCAAAACTGTCCAGAGGTGAGAAAATTCTAATAAAAAGTTAGCTAATCTGGAGATATAACAGCTATTTTCACTTTTTATAAGATCTTAACTAAATGCTTGAGGGATGAGGATGTATCGATAAGATCGTTAAAGCTAGCATGATATCGATGTGAGCCATCTATCGACTCTACCACCCGTCGCTGGCATCCGAAGAGATACTAAATCCTCACACTTTTTATCAGTTACATGAGATATTGGAGATATTATTTAAGAATTGCATTGTTTTCATGTCCGTAGGTGGAAAAAATATCATTTAGAAGAGTGTAGGAGCAAATAAATCTTTAAAGCACAGTACAAAATGTGAGTAGAGGGGATAAGCATTCCATTATTATACCGATTTCGGTTAAGGATAAAATTCAAAGGACTTTAAGACCCAAAAGAATATAACAGATTCGCCAGACAAAAGGCCCAAAGTGAAATGAGATTCAAAAGTTGTCTTATGAAAGGAAAGCATTTAATATGCCGATCGAGCTACATGGCTTAATCCAATAACTCGAACCCAATTTCAGACCAAATTTGCTGGCGATCAGTGAAAATTGGGGAAAAGTGATCAAGCTGAGAGATAGAGGCCATTTGTACTGGACTGAAGACTGATTGAATTTGTCCTAAAATACTGGATGGTATTTTCATGCGTAGGATCTGCCAGTAGAAATGCTCCCATACGGCATTAACTGTACAATTTTATGGTAGCTCTGGAAGAGCATAGATGGAAATGCTCTTGTTATTGAGTAGCAAATGCTGAATGGAAAAAAAGATATTAAAGCCATGTTAAAAATAAGTTC